GGGGGGGTAGCGCCTTCTAAGGGGGTCCGATTTTACGAATTTACGATTTTTAAGCCTTCAAAAACGCAATTTCCCGCATTTTGAGAGGCAAATCATGGTGTTGAGAGTGTTTGTCGGTCCTTCTGATGTTTTCATATTTTTACTCAAGATTTGTTAATTTTGTTTGACGGATTCGTTAAAAAAATTCTGTATCTCTCCGCAAACTTCCGGTAATTGACGGAAAGTTGGTGCTGGATCCAGTGCCTTCAATGACGCATTTTCCTGCACTTTGAAAGGCAAAATTAGGCGTAACGAAGAATTATTCATTAACGCTTAACGCTGAATTTAGGATGACAAATAACGCTTTACGTTGAATTAAAACGACCAATAACGCTTCACGATGAATATACTGATAACGCTTAACGTTGAATTAGAGCGGGTTGGCAACGATTAACGGTGAATTAAAATAGCCCATAACGGTTAACGAAAAAGGGCATGCAGACCCTCTTTTATGGATGACATCCTCTGAAGACCACAAAATTACTGCGTGAAAAAAAGAATTCCAGCCAGAAAAATGCTGCTAAACCACATGAATACAAAGCTGGTATTCTGGATTTGCGGTATAACATAGTGACGTTTACAACACTGAGCTCTTGAGTTCCGTGGAGCTTCGGCAGCCTGTGTGCCATCTTCCATAGTTACTGCCATCTTCCTACTGTCGTGAGCTACCATGGACTATGGAGGATGGCACCCAGGTCAGAGCCTTGGAAGAGCTGATTTTTTTTGGAGAACAGGCAAAAATAAATGTGTGCGCAGTCAGCGTGGCCTTATTACACTTTCCTCACCTTCCAGTTCCAGCCAGCAGTTGACAGTCCCTTTCAACTCTGTGTTGGTGTCAAACATCCCACCATGGATGACTGAGGACAAGCTGATTATCCATTTCCAAAGGACTAGTAATGGTGGGGGTGATGTTAAGAACGTCACATTCACAAACCCATCTATGGCTGTTGTCACCTTTAACGACCCTGAATGTGAGTACATTAGATGAATCACTACTAGTATGTGTTCATGTAAGAATTTAGAGATGTGCAACTTTTCACTAAATGTAATGTACATGTAATGTTAACTACATAAAATCATTTTACATCTTCAGGGAACCATAAAAACTCTCTGACATTCTGTAAAAACATTGGGTAAATTAGATCATGACATATGACCATTTTAATTCTGTTGTCTGGGGCAGATTGGAGAGAGTAGGATGAAAAACACATTTCCCTTTTGTGCTAGTATGTAATAGTCAGAAGAACAAATCAACTACATGTTGCACTGCATTGAGTGCTGCATTGTAAGCAATATTAGGGGGAGCAGGTCACACCTATATTGTGCATGTACAGTAGCTGGCTGTCATACGATATACATGTACCGTATACCCCAATATTTTACAACTTATTACAGTAACACTCTACATACTTTTTACTCTTGACGAAATTGTTTTATTGTTGACTTGCAAATATTTGAAAGAAGAATACTCCTGAATGATCTTGGACATTGGACATGTGATAATTTCATCCTTAATTTTGCAGGTGCTTGTAATGTCCTGAGAAAGACACAGATGACAGAAAATGGAGAGATCCTTAAGATGGAGCTATATAAGGAGGTAGGAAACTCTTTGACCTTCTTTTTTGGATGTGATCTGTTTCTAATTTTAGTGTGTTATTGATTTCCATGCTTCAAATGATTGTTGAAATGGATATAGTGTTGAGTGTTATGCATAAGCAATGTTTTAAGGGATTCAAGTTACGAAAAGAGTAGTAAATCATTGATAAAACTCTTTAATTTGCTTCTGTCATGAGGGTGGATATTTACAGTAAGATGATTCTTTTACAGGTCTTTGGCGAGGTAACTGCAGTGTTACCGCATAATGTACTTCAGAATCTAGACAGCCCACTTGTAGACAAAATAAAAAAAGAGACAGGTGCTCACCTCAAAAGGGAACGTGTCAACCTGAGCATCAGTGGCACATGGACCCAAGTGGAAGCTGCTAGAAAAATACTCCAGCTCCATTTGTCTCCTGATGTCCATCTAAGTCATGGTCAAGCTTCAGTCAACGGCAGTGCTGCCATTGGAGCAGCTACAAATCAGCCATACAACCCTGACAGATACCAGGGGAATTCTGGTGATGTTGAAAGACTTACTGCTGGTACGAGTACCCATGCAGGAGCAGATACAAGGGGAGACATTGGAGGCCAGGGTGAAGACATGGAGTGGGAAGATGAAACTGGAGCATCTCCAAGTCCAACATCTAACCCGTGTTTCAGACATCTAACCCAGGAAAGGTCAATCCCTTAAATTGCCAAGGGCAGATGAAGAGGATCAAAGCAAGAATAAGGACAAATCCCAGGCATCTTGGAGAAGCCACATGGAGGGTTCAAGTGGTTCACTTTCTCAGAGACAGCATGATGAGACATCGCACTTGTCCTTGGGAGCAACAAAAGTCAGAGGTATCGGTAACCAACACACAATGGGGGCTCATTCTTCATCTGGTTTCTCTGGTTCTGACAATCAGCCCATTCATGTAGGTGCATCCCCAGACAGAGGAAAAAGCATGGTAACCTCTAAACATCAAACAAACAATGGAGATGATAATGACAATGCGCAAACTACAGTAGGTGACCAAGGTGATGACTACCTCACAGTTGACCCCTGGGCCCTACACATCCTAAAGCAGACTAAAAAAAGTGAGCTCCAGAAGAGCCTAACCCAAAATCATGTTCGCCTTCTACCAAATAAAGCACATACATCAGTTCAGTTCATACCAATTGACAGGTCACAACCCAGTAACTTGGAGAAGGCAAGAAATGACTTTGTTGATCTCTATCAAGACGTTTTCGGTTCCTTGAAGTATGAAGATATGGACATCAGTGGCTATAGCATTGGTTCAGATGAGGCAAGGAAAGCTCTTGAGAGGGTAACAGAGGCATATTCTTTGGTACAAATGACAGAAGTTGAGGATAGAATCTTTTCATTCTATGGAGTGGAGTCTGACATTCGGGAGGCCAGAAAGACACTTTGTGCAATGCTGGACCTCCCCATGCATAGGAAGGACAGACTGGCAAGGCAAAATGTTGCAACAAGAAATGACACGCCTACTAGTACTACGGCACAACCTGTGCCTGGGACATCATCAAGTCCAATGCTACATGGTGATCAACAATTTGAATGCAACTTGAATGGAGTGAAGATCACAGTCATGAAAGGAGACATCACAAAACAAGGTGTTGATGTAATTGTGAATGCCTCTGATACAAATCTTCTACATGGAGGTGGCGTAGCCGCTGCAATAGTCCGAGCAGGGGGGCCCACTATTCAATCAGAATGCAGAGACTACCTCACATCCCAAGGTCCAATAAAAACCACAGAGTGTATGTGGACAACGCCAGGACACCTGCCCTGTAAACAAATCATCCATGCTGCAGGGCCAAAGCACTACGATTCAAACACACTTCAGATGATGAGGCAGACTTTCATCAACATCTTTACAATGGCTGTAGAGCTAAAGGCAACCTCTGTTGCAGTACCTGCTATCAGTACAGGTATGTCAGTGCAAAACAAGTGTGTTCATTTGACAAGGCTGTTGATTTGTGATTTGAAAAATTATAGCGAAATTACATTATTTGAACTTTTCAATTGATAAATGATATTTGTATCTCTCATAATCCAAGACTTTTCTTTCATAAATGTTTACTTTCTATTGTTGTTCAGGTATGTATGGGGTTCCTGCTGACGTCTGTGCCCAAGCAATCTTTGATGCCATCATGGACTTCACGCAGCATGGAAGTACATCCCTCAGTAACATCTGCATTGTTGACATCAACCTGACAACAGTCCAGGACATTGCAGCTCACTTCAAAGGGTCTTCGGACAGTTTCCCCACAGCATTCACTGGTAGCAGCAGTAAAAGAAAGACACATTCATCAATGTCCACAGGCTATACTGGATCACTTGGAGGACACAAAGCAGCAACTACTTATACTACTGGTAGTAAGAGCTATGCAAATGCTACAAGGTCTGGAGATGGGGCCAGTGGTGTCGGACAAGTCGTCTCTGCATCACACAAAAAACAACTGCACACTGAGAGGTCTACGAAAGGCTCTGCAGCTTCAGGGCCATCCAAGGATGCTGATGATCAGGAGAAAACATGTCCTATCTGCCTTGATGACTTCAATGATCCCAAGACCATCCCACAGTGCAAGCACAAGTTCTGTAAAAACTGTCTGGACCAAGCGCTGAAGGCAGCTTCACAGTGTCCTATCTGTAAAACTGTGGTAGGGACCTTGACTGGGACTCAGCCAAAACGTGGCACCATGAGGGACAGAGTTGATAATTACACGACCCTTCCTGGTTATCCCAAGTGTGGTACAATAGTGATTGACTATCACTTTCCAGCTGGAACCCAAGGGGTGAGTATAGAAGATTATCAGGAATTCAATTGCTAAGAAGCATTTGCTTATTTATCTTATCTGCTAAATAATTAGTGTGCACTGCTTTGAAGCAAGTAAGGAATAAAATACCAGTAGGCAACTGTATTTGGTTCCAATGTAATAGAAATAATACAGGCTGCCATATTTACAATGTTTGCAATGATTGAAAGTCCTATTAGGCCAAGTCTCTGCAACCTGAAACAACTGTAGCATTACTTACAAATAAGTATACATTGAACACTCTCCCACAGCCAGAACATCCGAACCCAGGGCGTCCCTACTACGCAACGTCCCGTAGAGCCTATCTGCCTGACAACCGTGAGGGAAGAGAAGTCCTGGCCTTGCTGAGACGTGCCTTCAACCAACGGCTAGTCTTCACTGTCGGTACATCGGCAAGTACTGGACTGTCTGACAATGTCATTTGGAACGACATTCACCACAAGACCAACACACATGGAGGGCCAACAAAGTAAATATCATTTTACATTACATGTATTTCTCTATTTTCAACAAGAGATTTTCAATATTGAACTATTAAACACATTCAGTGCCTTAGGGACTGTAGAAATGACAAAAATCTGAGAATGAAAGATCACAAATGAAGTTGAGGTGGCTATGGCAGTAACATTATATCTTGATTTCAATGCAGAAGATTAGAGAATCCTTCAGTGTGAAAAGGATATCGACAGTATTCAATTTTTACTGGAATGTCAATTTTATGTTGGTAATATTTTGATGCCAGTGCTTGGAATGAGTATAAGTTTGTCTGTACTTGCATTATCCCAAACATACCATGCAACTTATGAGGCTCAGAAATTTCTTCCATGTAAGAAAAGATTGTGATATGTTCAAAACTTACTTGACAAACATGCCTTTTGCAGCTATGGCTATCCAGATCCTGACTACATGCGGAGGGTTAAAGAGGAACTTGCAGCTAAAGGCATCAAGTAAAGATGATAAACAGTGTAATGTCTATGTAAAATATAGGTTTGTAACACAAATGAACCTAGATTACAAAGTAGGTTACAAAGTGTCCTCAGTGACTTAGACTTAATTTTTTTTTGTTTTATAGGATCTAGATATTAAACAGATCACACTCGATCTGTATTATATAACTATACGAATGTGAGTCATATAGTCACATTCCAGGAGTTTCTGTTCTCTCAAAAGTATGAATAATATGGTGAGATACCATAATATAGGTAGGATGCCTTCAAGAAAACTGTTTTGAATGTAGACTACAGATTTAAGAGCAGCGTATTTCTTTGAGATACATGTTACGTTAATTACAAATTGATCTGTTCTAAATAGTTACACCTGATGTCCTTCATACACAATTATCACTATTTATTTCATACATAATGTACAAAATGTATTTGATTTCCTTGTCTAAATCAGGCAAATTACATCTTTATCATGTAGGATTTGTTTCATCATTTTTTCTTCATTGTTGTATCTATAATTTGAAGGACATTCTCATCTGTAATTCTTTAAAGTGATATCATGGATGTGGTAGTTCTCAACAGCATTATCAATGTATTCCATGCATTTATGTCCACTCATACGATCCATAACTTTCAGAATGGACATTGTTTTGCGCATGAGGTTACAGGCCTTTGAAACGTGAGGGTAGAGATTAGTGAAGATGCTTGTGGTCAATAAAGTGAAGGTTGTTGGTACTATATGTGCATTACAACTGGTGTCTTCTCAAGTTTGTTCTACGTTTACGCTACATAATGGTTGCAGTATGGTGGAGATGAGTCTGCCTGTTCCATATATTATTTGATTGCAGGACACACTCTAGTGTTGGATTAGTGGATGTCATTTCCAAACATAAACACATAAAAATTTTGTATCTATAATGAAACATTGCATACAAAGATGCCTGTCATAGCACAATGCTTAACTTTATTCCAACACGAAGGGTACACAAGGATCAAATTTTCAGCGATCACTGTTGCCTTCATCAGAAATTTAATGATTGATCACTTCCCAAACGTAAACAGACTCGTGACCTTATTAACACAAGACTTTAAGGAAAGTTGACGTCAGTGATTGATCAAACTCGCCAGGTACAATTAACACAGATGGTGGGCAATATAAAATCCCTGCCATGTTTGATCAAATACTGATGTCACATATCCGTTAAGTCTTGTGTGAATAAGGTCATGTGTCCATAACTCTCGGTTTTACATTCAGAAGTGATTGGTTATTAATTATCCTAATGACAGCAAGTGGTCATTGAAAATGTGATGCTTGTGTCCCCTTTGTGTTTTAATAAAGTTAAGTATCATACTGTGATTACTATCAATACAAATGAACTGCCATGATAAACATGCCTGTCCTTGGTGCTGAATGCCATTCACAAAGATGGACAGGCCTGTCCCTGGTGCTGATGTAACAATCATTCACAAATAGACCTGTCCCTTTCACTTAAGTTTATCAACAAATAACATTTGGTGAATGTTTTTAATTCCATTGCCTGTGTCAGTTACGCAAATGTGCATGTGTATGAAAAGTACAGCAGAACACAAGTAACGTCCTCCATACAAGCTAAGGTTACCATTTGATGTAATAGGAACAAGATTTACCATTCCTTGTATGGTAACAATGGTCAATTTTCTTTGTAATTGGAGAGATACCTAGTACCTCAACACAACAGGGAACACAGAAAATACAGGGACCATTTTGTGACCCGAGGCTTGACCCTATCCCGGCATGCTGCGTGACTGTCATGGCGGACGTCGTCTGTTCGCCGGCCACGTAAGCTGACATTCTCAGGAAAACTCCGGGTTTCCTGGTGAAACTATGTTGGTACTGCTAGTGGCCGCTGCGCTTGGACCCATGGCGTGCGCTGGTGCCACAAAAGTAGACGGGAAACCCACTGTTGACGAAGGTAAGGCTACAAGAATTTGCCCCCCCCCCCTCCCAACTTTCGGAAATTATGCTCCTTGTTGACCTTAGAAATGTTTACATTTTAGTCCAACTATAACATTACATGTAACGTTATTAGTCCCGTCATAATTGTTACAACAACATGATAGCAAAGACATAACCTAACAAACCTGTCCATAGACCATCAGCTTGAGTGGACAGTGGAATAATTTCGTTGATAGATATAGGAAATTCGAAATCCTGAAACACTAGATGGTGGTACTTGACATTTCACCAAGCACTTAAAAGCATTGAACACGGATCCGCTAGCTGCCGTACTCTCGACATGCCGGGTGAATTTGTAGTAAAATTGATTGTCAGAAAACAGTGCATGGAAGAAGGTCACAATCTTTCCATGGATAACCTCTACTTGGAGAGTATATAATACATGGTGATTATTTGGGTAACAGCGAGGAGGTTCTTATTATATGATTTCCTGCCCACCTACAGCTCAGGTTATAGCATATGGTGGAATCCTGAACAGTTTTGTCCCAGGTGTGCTGCCAAATGACACTGACATCCAACAGGTGGCACAGGTGAGTTATGATATTTTTGTAGTTGTCCTGTAAGGGGCATAATGTCACATTTTTGCACCAGAAATTGAAACATTTCATTTAAAAGAATGTAATATGTGTGAATGTAATTTACTTGCACTTTGCAACATATTTCTGCAATTATCTCACATTTCTGACATTTATGGTTGGCACTAAAACAGCCCATATGAAGTGCACTCAACTCATAATGTAAACAAACATGGCTTAACACACCCGTAAGGCCTCATATTTGACACCTCCACTTCCTGAATGGCATCTTGAAAAGGTCTACTTTTCCTGATGGTTACACCTGCCCCTTTGATCCAGTTGCGGTAAATCTTGAAAAGTTTTGTGGTTTTATTTTTATGATTGTCTCTGTGACCTTTCCACAGCAAATTCATCATACTACAAACATATGTTTCAAATATATGACTGTATTGACTACAAAGTTGTTTCAACTGTAACTTCAAAATACCTTTAAAAACCCCAACTTTTCTTTCTTACTGCGAAAATAAACCACCTTGAAAGTTAATGGATTTACAGTTACATGTAATAGCATTTGAATATTTATAAATGTGTTTCCTATTAATCAACATATTGCTATACCCTCTATCTGTCCTCAGTTTGCCCTCCAGTATGCCACAGAACATGCACCACATCTGGTACCTAGGGCAGGACAGAGTGCCGAGGGTGGAGACTTCCTCAAACCTGAAATACTGCAGCCAAGAAAATTAGTACGTACACAGCACATGGAGAGCTTTTATTATAATTAGTATATGTCTCTCTTTTTGCTTCTCTGAACAAAAAAAAATGATGTTGATGATGTCATGTAATGAGCCGTCAGGGCCTCAGCTGATTGGATGACCCCATACCACCGCGGTCCAATCATGCCACTCTATTTTTGGAGACACTCAGATTTAGCCAATCGGTGCACCTGTTCAAATTCTAAACAAATACAAATATTCAAATGACAAAGAATATGTGTGGGTCAAGTCTTTCTAGTTTTTTTTGGCAAAGAAGCAAGGAATGGGCATACTGAAGCAAAAAAGCTGTATGGTCCTCTTCAAATGTTTTTTTTCAGCACAGATTTATCTTAACTCTAATGTGTTTTTCCTGTTCTCCCCAGAAACTCCACTTTACCCAAAATGGGCAGAACCCTGCTCTGTATGAGCTTGTGTATGAACAGAACGGGGAGAAGCTGACTGAGACACACATCATCATCCTGGGCATCACCTACTTCCTGACCCTGTCCTGGCCTAGCATCGCCAACTCCCTGGTCCACAGGTTCGTGGTCACCCTCTCCTCAGGACACCTGTACGTCTTTGAACACACCTGGTTCCAGGTGGCTTCTAAGACAGGTGAGTCTAGTCCAGCTCAGCTTACAATGTACATGTAGGTTGAATGGTTGAATCATTGAATAAGAATGAAAGAATAATTGTCTGAATGAATATGGAATGGAATGAATAAAAGAGAAATTCAATTTATTTTATTTCATTTATGAATGAATGATTGAATCAATGAATGAATGAAAAGTTAATAGAAAAATGAATGAATGAATAGTAAAATGAAAAGAGGAACAATCCAATTCACAAACTTCCACTTTCTAGAAGAAGAAGCATAAATTTTTGCCTACATGGCCTACATTTTTTGTACATCTTGCTAATAAAGATTTATCCTCACATTGTGATCTTCCTGCAAACTTTGTCATCTCCATTACATTGTCTTTTTGTAGGTCGCTGTTGTAAGTAACATTTTCACTATTTTTTTTTCCAGATGAAGGAACAATTTTGCCGGGTGCTTCAAAATATATGCAACATGTCCAGGCAGATACCATATCTTCCACAAGGACTCAAGATGTGGAATCTTTGACTTTAGGAGATAGCAAACACAGTGTGCAATACTCATCTAATCAGGTTTGTCAACATACTTCTCAAGAGAAGCAAGAGTGTGGTGGTCAAGAAAAGGTAGAATCTACAACAACTACAGCAAAGAAGTCTTACACACAGAGTAACAATGAGTTATCTGGCGAACTGAAGATTGCTTCCTACAATGTATGGAATTTCAACGGTGGTCCAGGTGGAAGTGTGAAGGCTTATGTACAACGTGCCCAGCACTTGGGACAGGTAAGTCACACGGTTTGGGGGTTCAAACCCTGGATAACCTGTTTGTTTGTTTTTAATAACCAGTAAACCAATTTTAGGTGTGGCACATCAGTTTTGTACAGTAGGTAGTACATCCTGTGTAAGACAGAACTGTAAGGTTTGATCCACTCACACTGGAAAGGATCCCTGCTCTTTTTATAAGTTTTGTGGGGTCTTTCAATGTGCTTGAGGTGTGACTCTCCTTAAACACAGGACTGCTGATTTACAAAGCTAGGTACTCATTTTCACTTTTGTGAAGTGAGGTTTAAGTGCCTTTCCCAAGGGCAGCACAACATTGGGGTCTGCTTGGGATTCGAACCTGCAACTTTTAGATTCTAAGTCTACCTGTGACCCTTACCAGACCGACTTGCCAGACTCAATTTCAATATTTGCCATTGGTAGAGGTTAATTGTGTTCCTTTCGAGAAAACATTGAAAGATGTAAGTTACACTGTTTTGGAAAAGTGGCATATCTTGATTTTGTTTAGTTTATGTGATAATAACCTCTTGTCCCAGGTTCTTGCTGATTGTGCTGCTGATGTCATTGCCCTACAAGAAGTGAGGTTTGCCTACAACAGAGGAGGGCCTCTAGGGCCAAACCAGATACAACACTTCACACACTACCTCCCTGGATACCAGGTAACAAGGCAAATATTTCAGCAACAGAGCTACAACAAAATGATAGATTGTGCAAGTGGACATAGATGCATGGGATACATTGATAATGCTGGTGAGAACTACATACATGTACATCCAGGCTACCACTTTAAAAGAATTACAGATGAAAATGGCCTTCAGATCATAGATACAAGACCACACAAACCCTGTTGGCTTAACAAAAATCTGCCAACCCTAGCCTTTTTGTGTGGTTCACCATGGGCAGATTTTCAAGGAGCATTTTCCCTAGCTCACTGCTCTGTGTCTGTTCCAGTATGTATTCCAGCCTGCCATGTCCTACCCAGAGAGCATTCTGGGAAGGGTAGAAGAGGGTGTGGCCATCATCTCCAAATTCCCAATTCTCAGCCATGACTACATCCTACTGTACAGGTAAAAAAGACCACCTAACTATGTGGAAATAACGCTTTGTGGACTACAAGTACAGCTTGCTTGTATATTCATGCCAATTAATGGCTTGCATTCATCAGATCGAGATAGTCTGTTCAAACGTGAGCAAAAATGACCTCTACTTGTATTCATCATCAGGCATATCCCCATGCAAGCATGGCAATACATGTGGACTAAGTGTGCAATTTCTTATTCAATTATAGAAATGCCAGTGACTCTGAAGACTTCCACCAAAGAATCTGTCTACATGCAGAGATAGAGACTCCATACTTGGGACTTGTAAGTACTAGTATAAAAATTGTATTTTGAAGGCATGACTTTTTTCTTGTACTCAGTAGTTGATGCCTCGACCAGTTTATTAGTCATTTTGTACATCATGCACAGTCTGGACATTTTTCATCTGTCTTCCAGCAACACCCACTGTAGGTTTCTTTTCACAGTTGTTATATACCATTATATCCTTACCCAGTGTTGATAACTCCCCCCTCAGGTCCACCTGTTTGTGACCCACCTGTCCCTGAGTGAGCCGGCCCAGGACAGGTCAGTAGTACAGATCTGGGAGTTCATGCAGCGCTTCAGCGGGCCGGCTGTGCTGGTGGGAGATCTCAACACTGAACCTCACTCCAAGGCTATCAGGTAATCACATGGAAGTTTGATACTTTAGATCGTTACATACTGTTTAAAGTCTTCCACACTTTTCAATAAGCACAATGAATAGCTTGCAGTGTTCACAATAATTCAAAGAATTGTGTAAGTCAGAAGACTGTGACAATTAGCTAGCTTTGGATTTATAAACCTTCTACATTTAATAGCTCTGAAGCAGTTATTATAGCTAACCCCCATCTGTGATACAGGTTTCTCCAAGGTGTTGAAGAGATTGACAGAGTGAAGACAGAGGGACTTCAGGATGCCTGGCTGATGAAGTATCCAGAGCCAAGGTAGGTCCATCAACCATGAACATGCAAAGTTCAATAAAGGTTAAGTCATACTAGGTGTATACACTTCTTAAGATACTAATTATGCTAATTGCTTTATTAAATTATGGTTTACTACAATGCCTATTGAATAATGTGTGACAAGTATGGTTTCTGTCTCTTTTTTCTCTTGAGATATACAAAGTGCATTGGAGGCCTACAGAATGTAGAAAAAAACATATCAAGTTTTAACCCAGGATTGTACAAATTTTTTCACATGTGCACTTGTAATTGACTCATAAGTGTTGGTATTGCTTGTTGCTCATGTCTTTTCTTATTTAGGGCTGATAGAGATGGTACATACTGGAGGAATGAGATCAGAGACTCTGGGTTGACATTTAATGCACTGAAGAACCACTTGGAGAAAAGGGTGGGTACTCTGGTTCTACTGTTGGTAATATCTATAATTATGGCTTCACCAGACCACGAAGTGGTCTGGTGAAACCATATTGTTTTCTCTGATGTTTCTTCTTCTCCTCCTTCTCCTCCTGCCATTTTTTAAAATGGATTCAGCTTCTTCATTTTGGGGCCTAAGGATCTGAAATTTGGTATGGAGGTACAGTGGGCAAATACCCTTAGGCTTTTTTTAAATTTTTGTGATACAGGCTTTTAGAATGGTTTTATTTGAGTTTTTTGGCTGTATTATAGCAAATGTATTACTGTGTCAGTGGGCAGTGTTAACCACATTTGGCATGAGTCATCACAATGGAATGCAGGGCATCAACCAATAGGCATGCAGCTTTCCTCTCTTCTTCTTGCTGATTGGCTGTTGGGATTTAACTTGATTAATACCTGCACAGACCATTTCCATACTGACAGTATGTCTGTATTCAAGTGTTTTGGTAGGTATTTCAAGCTTTCCTGCTCCAGCATTGGAATGCGGGGCATGAACGTTTTTTTTTTTTTAAATCAACAGTTTGCATTATGCAATTAAAAATCCTAACCAATAATGTAGGGAATAGCTAGCCAACTGTTGTAGTCTTAATTAGTTGTATGTTACTTCATATTATAGTTATATCAATGTAAAGCATTGTTTTCCCTTGTGTTTCTCATTCTTTCCCTGCCATGTCGTAAAATGTGGTGAAGCCATCGCTGTATTTGCTCCAAAGCAAATATTGGCCTTTCTAGTTTAGTTTAAGTTCCTCATTCACCCAAACATGCTTTAAGTATAAAACTGAAATTGAACAGAAGATTGACACTTCCAAGAATGTGAGTATACAATGTATATAATACTGCAAATCATTGGTTCACGGTAGCAAAAGTTCATGGTCTGAGAAAAATGGACGTTTGTGGAACTATTTGGCAGGTGCAGAAAAAAGAAAGTCAGCAAGTTATTTTTCACAGTATTAATGATAAGTTTGCAGTACAGAAGTGACTGTCAAAACCACAAATATAAAAGTACCACAAGAAAATCATGATTTACAGTACCACGTATGTTGTTGTTGATGTATTACAAAACTTACACTGTAATGTTTCACCAGATTGACTACATGTTTGTTCGGCTCCCAAGTGATGTGCATCTCCACAACATCTCACTTCTGGATGATGGCAAACGAGGGTAAGGGTAGTAGCTTATTTCAAATAATGGTGTGGTCACATTTGTTGTAGGTCGACTTGCGATTTTGGTACTATACAAATTTCAGGCAGGCTGTGACAGAACCATGAACTACCATGAATACAAATTTGTAGTGGTATGTCAAAAGCCTGATATCATTCCTAAGTGAACTTGTAATTGTTTTGAAATTTCCCTGTACATTTTCAGATATGCAGCTGCTTCAGACCATGTGGGTTTGATGGGTACCTTCACCCTCTCTCAGGACAAGGACTGGGGCTCTTGATGCTGCCCATCAAATTAGGGACTTCCCATGAAAAATTTTATGGACATGCTGTAAAGATAACAGCACGTTGTCTGATGTTTTAAGATTAGGGAACAAATTTCTCTGGCTCATTTGTAACAAATAAGTGTCAGAAGAAGCATAACATTACAACAATTTTACCATTAATACGGGTACATGACCTTAAGTTGTATTTCAATTGGTTCTGTGTATGCACTAAGGACTTGTCTAGTACAAAAAAGAACATTGTAATACAGTGATAAATGATGGTGTGCCAAAATATGAAGTGATGTAAATAATCTATCAGTGAATAATATGTCAGTAAATGAGAGTTCCGTGGCCACCTACCTTTGCCAACTGTTATATTCTTGTATATGTACTGATTTGCATAATAAACATTTTTTAACTTCAACTTAAAGCAATCTTTATCACTAATTATTTTCATTAATTATGGAAAAAAGGTCAATATGTGCAAGCTCTATGTTCATTACTGATTTCCTGCACCTGTGGTCACTAGTAACTTAAACACCCATCTTTCCACAGAAAGCTGTCAAGGCATTTCTATTTCCCCTTGGTTCCCCTATTTCCCCTTGGTTGAGTTGTGAGTTTGTGTCTCTGTTTGTCCTAACAGCTCAGTGTGTACGGTGTGATGTTATTTTGACAGTTGATTGATAGGAAGGTCAAGTCAGAAGGTGACTTAGCACTTGCCAGGTGGACCTCAAAAACATTTACAGGGGTCTGTCAACTTGAAGGTCTTAAAAAAAGTCCAATACTGCCAGGAGGAGTGAAATGATTTCTTGCTGTCATTGTCCTCAGGCAATAGGGATGATTCTCATCTCGGTAAACTTGAGAGAATACCCCTGTTCTCCCTTCCAGGCGTACCATTCCACTCCATCGTATGGTTGGGAAAAATACCCTCCCTCCCTGTACCTACCATTCAGGTTAGTGTAGTAAGAAGAACACTTTCGGTGCCACCACCCTGCACTGTACTTCGCCGTGCAGTTATGACCCTGGTCCCTGTCCGAGGTGCTGAATCTGTAGTCCCGGTGAGCCGACAGTGAGTCTCCACGGTAACGATCATACACCAAGTGGTTACCAAGTCTCAGCCGATACTCATCATACTCATCTTCCACCACAAAGCGATCATATTGTACATGCTCTGTCCTCCCCTTCCAGTCCGCTAGGTGGAGGTGCAGCTTGTATCTCGCCTGTGTGGTGAGCGCGTGGAGTCGGTCGTTCCCGATCCAGTACTCCCGCCAGGGGTTGCCGAACCCGTGTTTGTAGTCGGCCCAGGTCCTGTTGAAGTTCTCGCTGCCGTCCTCTCTCCTCTGTATGACCGTCCAGCCGTCGGACCTGTCCATGCGACAGTAGACGTAGAACGGCTGTACCGGACTGCCGAGGGATTTCTCACTCAGACTGTAGGTCACAGCAGACGGCTGGATCAGGTACACGCCGCTTTCTGTGTTCCCCAGGGATAACACCTCAGCGCAGTCTGGAAGGGATTGACCATCAAGATCATTGTAAAAGAAAGAAAAATGAAGGAAGAAAAGGACATTAATTCATTGTACTTGAAAGTGGGGTTGAAATAATTTGTTCGAATTCGAATATGCGTAGAGTGAAAATTCATGCTGTAAATCAAAACATGAGATGAAAACATCAGTAAGTTGGTAAGTAATATCAAGTTTGAAACATTTCTGGCAGTCTTTGGCTGTCCAATGTTTCTTCTTTCAAGTTGTCACATTCATTCAAGAGTCACGTCCAAGTCGTATTCATACGAGGGTGGATCAAAAAGTTCTCGGCCTCACCTAGAAAACGTCGTGGCAGAAAAAAATTTCTTACACTATATGTTTCAACATAGTCCCCTCTAACTGCAATGCACTTGGTCCAGTGATGTTCCGGGTTTGTTTTCCCTTTGTGGAAGAAGGTTGAATCTGGAGCCCCCAGATAGGGCTCACCCGCACTGATGACGTCATCATTACCATAAAAACGTTGACCACGTAAGTGGAACTTCAGTTTAGGAAATAGGTAGAAGTCCGAGGGTGCTAGGTCAGGTGAATTGGAAGGGTGGGGTTAGACTTGAAAGCCAAATTCGTTTGCTGCTGTAACTGACCCCTGTGCTGTGTGGACAGGTGCATTGTCATCACGCCAGCTCGGTGCTTTCCTCTCCTTTTCTCTTTGATCGTTGTCCTCAACTGTTGCTATTCTGTTAAATAGTACTCCCCATTGATGTTTTAACCTATTCACAGGTATTCAGTCATGATTACTCCCTTGCTGTCCCAGAAAACAGAGACAAAACCCCTGTCAACGGATGAAACTCGATAAAACGTCTTGGGGGCCGGGAAACATTCTTCATTCTTTGTTTGTTCTGTTGTTTTGATTTAGGGTGAAAGTGGTGAAACCATGTCTCATCTTGGGTGAAAAATGTTTTGAGGTAATTGCATGGATTGGACTGAATTCGTTCCTTGAAATGTCCAGCTTGTTTAACTTCTGATGTTCAGAAAACATTCTAGGCACCCACCTTACAGACAGGTTGCTCATCCCCAGGATGTCTGACAAAACATTGTGAACAGAGCCACAACACAGGCTAAAGACTCTGCTACATGTTGGACAGTCTCACATCTGTCATTTACTACCATGTGATGGATGGCCTCAACTGGATTGTCCATGGTGCTGATTTGTGGCATCCTGACATATGTTCATCTTTGGTGCTCACCTTGCGGCGCTTGTAGCTAGCAACTCACTTCTTTATAGTTGAATAAGAAGGATAGTCATCACCAAGTGTCCTGACCATGTGTTCATGGATTTCCTTACGAGAAATCCCTTTTTATCGATATACATGATCACAGCACACGCTTCTGTTGCGGCCATTTTGTGATTTTGCCCTCACCCGCCCCATTTTCACGGGGCGTCACGTGCTAACTAATGAATATAGAAATTTGAATTTTTGTGTGCAGTGATGTAAGACATCATAGTATACAGTTATACTAAAGAATAGGAGTTTGCCCTTTATTTTCTAGGTGAGGCCGAGAACTTTTTGATCCACCCTCGTAGAATTGTTTCTATATACACACGTTTCTTACACTTATGACATCCATCCCATATAAACTAAAGTAACTGCATCCTAGTACTATGATATCCACTTGCTCAAAGATGAGACTATGATAGAATAGAAGTGATCAGGGGCACCTTTCGGGTATTTCTGTGTTTCGTCCCCTTCTTCAGATTGTTCCTCCGTGGACATTTCGCGTTCCACGTTTCCCAGAACGTCGTCAATACGTTTACTCACTCTCTGAATCTCATTGCTAAGGTGAATAACATGATCGGTGACAGAGCTTTTCAAGTCGTCTACTTGCTGTCTGAGAGCCTGCACGTCCGTACAGGTTGCGACGTCCAATGGTGCGGGGACCTCGAAAGTGTAGGCCCAGCGTCCGTTCACTACACGTGCACCGCCCGGGTGGCTTTCCTCGGACGTCGATTCCACAGCGTCGAGCTGGTCTGGTAACATCTCTTGCCCCTCTGCAATCGCAGGAAAGGCCGCAATGGCAAGCAAACACACGATAAGGTACGCCAAGGACAGGGCGACGTTTTGGGGAGACATTTTGAACGTTTGACCGAGCAAGATTTGAAGCAAAGAGCTTCAAAAATCCTTTGTTTGGCAGTTGTGTGCAGTCTGGAAAACAAACGTCAACTGAAAAGTCACAGCTGCTGCTTGCTATAGACCTCTTTTTGCTGGCAAAGGCAACAAAAAGATACTTAAAAACTTCACTAGTAGTAACTTGTTGTTTATATAATACAGGAAGAAGAGAAATATTTACACGCCCGGTGGAGTAGGGTTTTATTTGGCCGTGTCTATGGCCCTATCTATACGGAACCACCCAAGGCGGTTTACATGTGGTTTACCCCGAAGCCGGTTTCAAGTGGCTCCATCTGAACGCTCCGAAATCACATTGAAAGCGCCTCGATCCCAAGCCACTTCTAGAGGTGGTTTCCGAATCGGTTTCCCCGCATCGCGATTTGCGTCTGAACGCAATGTGATTTCAATGTGACTTCACCTGGTCATGGATTACGAGGTGATGTTTCTTTATTTATATGCAATACCAACTGGTCAAATAATGTGTCCGTTCTAGGACGAGCTTCACCGCCTCTGGCGGGACCACGTCGGCATTCGGCCGAGATACGCTGGGAGGGGGGCATCAGCAAGCAGGTCGTTGACCTCTGACATTAATAACACGCCGCCTTGCGTGTTATCATCAAACAGCAATAAATGTAGCTCAAGCGCATTATGTTCGGACACGGTTTCGCAGGTGTGTGTGGCACGTGGACCAGATGTGAGGAATGTGAGTTACCCGAATCGCGGTTTGGGTGATTCCGTATAGACACGGCCTTTGTCAGTTGACCTGATAACAGTTACAGCTGTACCTCATCTATCCATTAATGCGAAAATTCATTCAATTAATTTTTAGACAGTTTAGAAATGCGACAAATCCGGCCTGTGCGACACTTTGTGGACCAGACGGGCTTTTTAACGGTTCTCACTGAACCCTAAGGCCGTCTTGTCCACAGTTTCCTGTTCAGTTGTCGGTTTGGTATGCGTTGTATATGCCACATGTCCGAAGGCAATGGCATCCCGCAATAACAGAAGTAAATCTCCTGTGCCAGTAAAACGTAGCCTCGAACTTCAGTACAATTACTCTCAAAAGGCGTGTTCCTCTCGCTTCTTGTAGTTGTACAGCGACTGTTGTACAGTATACTACAAGCAAAAAAAGCAGATTGGGAAACAATGTAAACTACTTGATAATGGGAATTTGAGACGAGATGAATAATTTGCTTTCCAAATTCAACGTCGACGTCCAAGGGAAGTTTTGGAGCCACCATCGGTTCGAGATTGTAGAACTGGTATCAACTTTGCTGCAGTTTACAGAAGGACCGCAAAGTGACGCGCCTGCACCATAGGTCATGCCAGCTGTAATCATCTGGTATGATGGTGATGGTAAACGGGCGTTCGTTAGTGTGCTCTCTAACTCAACAATACCTAGGATACATTCTCGTGCAGACGGAAAGTCTAAGCAAGGGAGTTAAAAAATCTCCTTGGTCTGAGTGACCTCTTCAGAAAACCTACAACAAGAATTAAATTGAAATCAACTCCTCAACAACGAAACAATGCATGCGTCTCTTTGTGAACCTCCTTGGTCATAAGACTAGAGGTCTGCCAAGCATCTATGATCATCTATGTCCACAGTTTTCTGTTTTCCAATTTACAATTTTCCTAGAGTTTCACTTAAGATTTTTCTTGATTCTGCAGGCACAATCTGAATTCGCAATCCAAACATAAAACGGTTCTCCCCCTTTACCCCAGCTGTTCCTCTGCATTTTCCGTTATCTTCAACTTTTATCTCCTGATTCCAAGAAGTAAAATTCCGCTGACCCCACAGACCAGGGATGCCCCGTGGTGTCGAAGGGACCGACCAGTGATAACCGGTGTAAAATAACCGGAGAACCGCTTTGCTTCCATCCCATACTAGCGTACAATTATACTCTGTCTAGATAGAAGACATACAACTCGAGTCGTCAGGTAAACTTTTAACTACATGGGTAAACGGAAAGCTCCTTTACAAACGCAAAGCAAGGACCTTGCGCAAAGCAAGTGTTTCTCCTTCTAAGATCAAGGGCAAATATTTACAGAAACTAATAAGAAAGAACTAAAATTCATTGTTATTCATGCTAATTACTTAGCACCAAGACGACTTAGACCAGATAATTGATTACACACCCTTGGTCGGGCATATCAAAAGAATAATTGCAAGAATTTTATCAAGCGCAACCTCCTTGGCGCAAGTAAAGTCTCTAATTCTCGATCTTATTTTTAAACTTGAAAGTTTTGCTATTAGAAACGGGGGAAATGTGTCGAAGAAAAATTTCCCGGTCAGAACCCCAGAATTTTTAGCCTGTATGTCGGACCCACGGCGTAAGATTTCCCTGGGGGCATAATGGGCATGTAGCGGACCTGTGTTAGGCCCTGGAAACAGCCTGGCATCCAGGCTACAGAACCCCCGGGTTTTCCACCGGGTCAGCTCTGCGTGCCAGAACCGCGGCTGTCGTCTGCACTTTGTTACCACGACTTTGTCATCTTGTCCTTGTTAGGGGGCGATCGTTTGCTTTGTAGGGTGGTGGGGGTGATGTCTGACAAGAAAGATGAAGGTGTGATGTGTCGCCACATAATTTTTTACTGACATATAGTCCTATACCAATAAAACTCAAGAAAATTGAATGACTGAAACTTAGAAACAACCAAAGGTGCCCGTCTACCATCTATATATGACGTGACACGACATATTAATCATGCAACTTAAAGTTCGAATAAATTTCTCACGATTAAGTGACTTACTCTAGGATTAATATCTGAAAGCCACAAGAAACAGCACGTTGTGTGCAAAATTGCTGACCCCACATGCTGCTTCGAAATGTAAACACCCACGCACTTCAACCCCTGTGCGATTTGGTCGTGCCTATTAAAGATTTATCCCCGGAGACGTCCCACAGCCTGGCCCCATCAACTCGGTATCCGCCAGCAGTTGGGCAGACCTGCGCGTTGTTTCCTCCGTCTCCGATCGGCACCACAGCAAATCTTATTTTCAACATGGCAGCCAAGCTGGTCCTAGCTGTGGCGCTCCTCTGTCTTGGTGGCGTCTTGGCCAAGAAACAGTGCGGAGAATGTGACCGTGACGCCTGTCCGAAGCCGGACTGCGGGGTGGAGATCAGGATGCCGGATGAGTGCGGTTGCTGCGAAGTCTGCGCGAGGCTCGAAGATCAAACTTGCGGAGGGAAAGACTGGCAGGAGGGCCGTTGTGCCTCCGGTTACCACTGCTCTGGTAGGTGATCGTTGAACTAATCCAGCGCCTTTTTGTACTAAGCTAAATTTCTATGGAGAGTGTTTAAATGTTAAACTTGTACTTTCATTTTGATCTATATGTATCGAGTGTTTTGTTGTAGCATTGCGGAGTAACTTTGTCGGTGACACGTGAACTTTTTTCGGTCAAGTCGTTTCTCTCGGAGTCTGTTTCTAATTTACTTGCTTGGCCTGCCGCCGCAGTTCTGACAAATCCATCTCTGTCTCCAAAACAGACTGACTGAGGGATTATTCGTTTCTATGCAAGAAGACTGTAACAGTTTGATTTTCTATTACTTTGTAGTTTGCAGGCGATGTGGTCGACTAGGTACACAGAATTACTGCAATCTTGGCTTTATTCTGAGACGCAGCAGGACAGTTCTAAGCACTTCCTGTCTTTAGGTTCTCCTTATTTGCAAGACGTCTCCTGGTTCATAAACACGGGGTTATCCACTAAATGGTCTGAAGAGGTCTGGGTGCATATCAAACACAGGCTCTACGACTGGGGTTTAATATTGTATAAAGTCTTATAAATTGCACTTTTTTCTTATGACATGTCACCTTTATTTGTAGTCGGGCTCTTGTCGAGAGGGGAAAAACGTACTCTAGTAAAAGCGAAAGAGCCACAGACGTAGAATCTGCTAAAACTCATCAAAGTTCAAAATATAAATATTCTACACAACATAATGGGGATAGCATTTAAGTAGGGAGGTATTTTCTTCTTGTTTCCCTTCCTCTTTGTTGTTCGAAGGGACAATACTCTAGATAGAGATGGGGATATATAATAATAATTTCGCTTTCCGCAGCTTTCTGCAGATGTTTATACGAGCCTTTTAAGTCGATAAGCGGGTTAATAATTCCAACCAATAGGATTGATGGAAATGTCCCTTTGTTCGCAGCATTGTTTCCTGCGGTTAGTCGGCTGTGGGTCCCGTCCCTTCAATTTCGGCTGACCTTGTTGTCTCTGCTGGATACAACCAGCTGTTTTCATGATCGGGGGCAGACTGAAATCCCATTTTAATGAGTTACGAAGTCCAGTTTATGGATTACTAGTATAATGAGTATTTCATGTATACTGGAGGTTTAGGATTTACAGTTCTAAAGTCAGGCTGGAAAACTCATATAATTTTATTATTATCTCCAAGCGGATAACTCACTACCGGCAATGAATGCGCCACTGGCTGAGCAGAAAAAGAATCAAAGGGAAATTGACTTATCACGGGGCAGTGCCTTTGTTTGTTTGTTTGAGCCTGAAACGTAAAGGACGGTGAACGTTAGACATCCAGGCAGAACATTACGTAATGTAAGATATTATTATGAAAGTAAACCAAGCAACTCACCCGGAGAAACACAGGAAATTGTGTTTCAGAATCCGCTATCTTTTAGGTTCCTTTCCAATCCGTACGTCCTGATGACCTAAGTTTTTATTCCTGCGTGGTGCAATTTAGCCTGGATGCAAGACCCACAGCACACTAGGCCCAAAGTATCCAGTGTGCAATGGATAACTTTGAGCCTAGTTTGCTGTGGGTCTGGCATCCAGGCTAGATCCATTTCATAAGTTTTTGTTTCCCTGCCATCCACAGTAAACCCTGACGAGAATGAGGAGGAGACCCGTCGCGGGAAGTGTTACTGTAAGTACCCGTACCGTGTGTGCGGGTCTGACGGGAACGACTACGTCACCTACTGTAACCTCAGGTTCGCCTCCTGGAGCAGCAAGAACGTGGGAGGACCCAAGATCCACAAGGTGCACAAGGGATACTGCAAGTTCGGTGAGTGACAGGGATAAACTGTACGAATTACTACAGTAACTATTGTAGAACTTTGACCGCATGTTTTCAGATATTTTGAATCTAAAAATCTTCATTAAAATAATTTTAGGTGAGTGACAGGGATGAACTATGCAAATTTTTAAAGTAGATATTACAGAACTTTGAAGCCAAATTTTCAGACATTTTGAATGTAAAAATCTCTATTAGAATAATTTTCCGTGAGTGACAGGGATAAACTATGCGGATTTTTTTAAGTAGCTATAGGTATTATATAGAACTTTGAAAATCTGTCAGATTCCACAATGCCAAACGTGTGCATTACCATCTGGAGTAGGGCTGCGGACCGGTACACTGTACCGGTCCAATACCGTAAAAATCGTTTCGGTACAGGTCCAAAATACCGGATCATGAAGTAACGAGTTTTTACCGAAATATCTAGTTTACACTTTACACCATGTATATGACTAAAGATAGGTAACATACATTTTGTTATATCTAGTTTTTGTCAGTAAGTGTGTTCACTGTTCAGTAAGTGAGTCTGTGAGTCTGACTCTGAGATTAAGTGACTGAGAACTGAGAAAGGAAACATAATTTAACTTAGTTATGTTTGATGTTTTCTGAATAAGTTGACAAGTTGTCAACACTTTATTATTGTTTCTGTGTCATGATTGAAAAAGTGAAGAACACGTGTTAATTTGTCAAATTGTTCAGGTACAGGTACAGGTCCGGACCTGTACCTAAACCTCTGTACCGGTACCTGTACCTGTACCTGATGTTACGTTTAGGTACGCAGCCCTAATCTGGAGTAGTCTCTACCAGGCTTAGGTAAGCGGCTAGAAAGGGCCGAAGCCTGCTGCTGGCAGAAGGCAGCGCGTAATTCATGTGTTGATAATTTTTGAAAGGCTTGTTATCGGCGACAGGTTTGGTTTATGAATACATGTAATGCGACCTCCCACTATACTCCCACTCCCAGTCGTGTCAACAGACTGGAGCAGTTGGTAAAAATCTTTGATACTTTGATCGGTCAAAATATTCTACACCCACCTAACACACGTGTGTATTACCCTAGGCCTCTGGAGTACTGAGTATTTGTTTGGAGAACAGCAACTGGTTGGAGATACTAGTAACCCTTCAGACACGACATTCCCACCCTGTCTGTGACAAATGTTGGATCCTCATTAGGGTAATTGAAAACGCGTGAAAAGCGACTGTCGACCTTGCCATGATTATTTCCTGTATTTCTCGGAAGGCACGATTCCACCAGCTAAATCCGCCAGAAGTAGAAACACGTGTTTCTTATCAAACCAGAGAGTAGCCCCGCGATCCTGGCAGTCTGAAGTCGGTAATTGATGGTGTGTTGCTAACCCATGGATCTGCCGGCATGCCCATGACCGAGAGCGGCAAACTGTGAACCGTCAGCGGTGGCAAAGGGTTCCCAAATATACCGTTCCCAGTCTAAAGTGGGCCTTAGCGCGGGCAGCTCCCCTGGCATATTATCTGTCTATTTGGCAATCTACGCTTCCCGAAGCCTGGTAGAGGCTGATCAACATTAGGTGGGACCTAGTCCGCTCACCAACAAAATCGTCCGGAGGGCGCCCTTTGCCGGTCTGCAGTTTCGAGACTATCGTGCCTCTATAATTTCTATCCTATCTCCTAGACATGCCAGCCATGCAGTGTCTACATTTTGGCGTCTGTGCGATAATAACATTCCTCTCTCGTCAGGAATGTGCTACAAACAAAGTTCACGTCAAAGTTTTGCTGCAATTCTAAAGAAATCCGCATGGGTTTTGCCTTTCGGATGCAAACTGTCGGAAGAAGCCAATGTCACAAACATCCTGACACCGTGCGTTTGTTTTTCAGCCCCGATCATCGCGACCCCGCCCTCCCCCATCCGTAACACCACCGGCTCCTCTGTGTTCATGAGCTGTGAAGTACGGGCTCACCCCACCGCCAGGATCACATGGAAGTTCAGGAAAGGTACGTTTTTCCACACAGATTCACAGGGTCTTTGACCTCCGGGTTCGGTACGGAGTCGGTCTTTAATTTATTAGGCTGGACCACTATGTGGTACTGGAAAGATAGGAGGTATTGCTTTCGGTGCGTGTTTGTGTGGGTGTATTTGCTTGTTGTCCGTAGGTATTTGAAAGCAACAGAATCAGTAAATTTCTGGTAAAATGCCTGACAATTTTTCAATCAGTTAGTTGAACAACAGGTAGACAGGAAGGTCCACCAACTTACGCGTTACTGCAAGTCACCACTTTTAGGCCTTGCTGTTAGTGTACTCTATATAGACTTATAAGGTTCTTGGTATTAAAATTTAGGACTCGTCATAATCCAATCAGAAGACAGAACTTTCTGCAAACCGTATTGCGCAGTGACGTACCGTTGTATGATTGGTTTATAGCTGCCTTTTTACTGTGGTACTCTTCTGTTCACCCCTCCCCATCTCCTCTACCCCGCCAGATGAGGATGCCGAGCCCGTGGAACTGCCCGGTGACGCCAGTAACGTCGCCTGCAGCTACCGCGGAGGACCCGAGAAGAACGAAGTCACCGGATGGGTGCTGGTCAGTATCGTCACAACAAACAAAGACTAGCAAGCAATGCATGCATAGTTACAACGTAAAAAGCCATGAAATATATGAAACGTATCCAACTATTCAATTACATCCCCCGCATTGGGTGGGGAAGAATGGCAGGCAGAATGACGTGATCAAAAGGTCAGACACAGGAGGGGAGGTAAACTTAAGTCTTGAAAACCCAATATACTTTGCGGGATTTTTACTTTGATTATTATTAAGTTTGAAATCTTCTTGGTGTCCTGTTTCAGATCGAGCCTCTTCAGAAGGAGAATGACGGCATCTACGAGTGTTACGCCGAGAACGAGTTCGGCAACGACTCCAGCTCGGCCACCGTGGAAGTGGAGGGCGACGAGTTATAAAGTTACATTCACAAATAAACGTTTCCTGACCCGTAGTTTTCCTTTGCACAGCACGTGTATGTCGATGAATGGATTCTTACTATCGTCGAGTTACAGATATTGGGGAAATAAGAAACGCATTCAAGGTGTTGGTAGATTAGAACACCGTACAAGGTTACTAACGATCATCACTGTGTGTCAATAGATAGACGTGTCATTTAGGATGGAATGTATTCGTTCTGTGTGTCACTGTGTAAGGCTGACCAAATCCCGGTGTTTAAGGGAAGTAGTTCTGAATTCCAGGGTATCTCAGGGGCCAGAATTTACCCTGGAATTCAAGCTATACATGTACAGTAAACTGTCACAGTTCTGCAAAGCTTGCCTTCAACTTCAACCTACACATTTGTATGGATCTATTTTTACACATTTTTTATTGGATTGATCAATGAGTGTTACCCAATTCTACTTCTTAAGTATGGCGGAAGGGCATCGCAATATTGTCTTGTCGAAAGCTCATCAGGCCATCCCACACATTTTCTACATGGTTTTGTTGGAGTAAAACTTAAGGTATGTAAATAGATTAGCTGTCACTGGCAAAAATGTGGGTGTGCCAAATGAAGGTGATAAACAGTGCTAGTGTTATCATATACTACCTTCTTGTGAAACCATTTGGGGTATCTTAGTTGAAGTAATAATAAAAGAAGCAGATTATTATTTCCCTGGCCTCTTACTGATTATGAAAAAAAACTTTGAAGACACATCCAAGGACAAGAAATCTATTATAACTGGATAAGCGTCTTTATTTTAGTGTTGTTCTACTGTAACTAGCTCCTGTCTAGTACTGAATATAAAGCTTAAGTAGCATACAAAATCATACAAAAGTGATTGTCTACAACAGGTCCTAGTAACCTATTGGCCTTACACATTAATCTTGTCCGAGAAATATCATAAATATCCAAAAAATACATGTGTACTGAAAAGTACCACTGTAGTAAAAGGGGAAAAAATGTCTAAGTATACCCAATAAGCATGCCATACATCCTTTATTTTATTTCAACTATTGGGTGCAATACAGAAGTGAGTCATTGTACAATACAAATACAATAGTGAGTCATGGTACATATGTAGTATGATTTGCTGTTGACATTAGCCTGTGTATACAAGCTCTCGGCTGGAGGTTAATGACCCCCACCCCAAGAGCTTGTGGCAGAATAGCTGTAAGTCGGGCGGCCCGTTCCCTTTCCTGGAGTCACCAATAGGAAGCCAGTATTAGGAATTAATGTGGGAACCGACCGGGCCATCACGTGGTACGGCGCCAGGCAGCCGGAGAAGGGCGGAGTACCGGGCGGGGACGAAAAATTTGATCGACTGCGGGTGGGAATTTCTCAGAAAAATGGCTGCGACTAGCCCGAAACCGAGTTTCTGTGCATTCTGGAGTCAGTGTGTGTGGACTTTGGGAGTCCCTGGCCCCTAGAGCCGCTTCAGGAAAATGCGATAAACGACGTGTTTGCGTGTCTTCCTACCGGCTATGAGAAGACCGAGATCGTGAAACAGTGCAGAGCAAACGAAAACGGCGGGTTGACGACATTCTTGTGCTTTGTTGACGATGTTGACTCCTGTCAAATTATCGATACTTAATTGCTGGAATCTAAAATGTTACTGGGTTCTCCTAAGCGGGAGTTATTTATTGTTTTGATCGGTAAAACGCAGGGTAAAATACGCTAGAAATTAATTACTTTGTGGGTAAAAGAAAACTCACGCCGAGGGCGAGGTCCACACTTCCGGGTTCAGCGACGACAAAATGACGCAAAAAACGCTAAAAATCCGCATAGAAGTATATAATTTCCCGACTGATTCTTGAAACTATGCATTTCTTCACTAGAATATCGATGTGTGGTTGTGGAAAATAGCATTTTAGCGCTTATATCGAAGAAAGAAAAGTTGTTTACACGCGCGTCGGCTCGGTCAATCTTCAATACCACCGGCGCTGCCGGAAGCGGACGCTTCAACTACTAGTAATCAGAGATGCGAAATGTGGACATAGCCGAGTGAAAATCGTGACGTAAATACAAATCCGTGGATGAGATTCTTTTCTCTCGGTGTGACTCCCATTTCCCACGAGGAAGTTCCAGAAACTTTGGAAACTAGAAACAGATTCGACTCGCGAGCGGGTGCCCGCGCCTTCCTCGGCCAAACTTCAATTTTGGGACATGAAAGGCGCGCCGACGTCCATCACTGGGTAGCGACCGACAGGCCCATAGCAACCATCTCTGTTGGGTGCCGCACCGTCTGAGGGCCGTTCGTGACGTTTGCATCTCATTAACCATATATGGCAGACCAGGGCCGTCGACACACCGCCAGCTTTACGCGTGCTTGACATCAAGCTTTTGGGGGGCGGCAACCTAGGGCGGCGGCCGCCAGGAGCGCGATTTAGTCAGGCTACTGTTGACATCAACCTTTTGTCATTTTGGAGAAGTGAAACCTGTTTCAGGCATTAAGCTATTTGGGACAAGTTAAAATGTCATTTTGGTGAAGTGAAATCTATTTGAGATAAATAAGCTCCTATACTAGAATCATTTCTAACTACCATTATATACATTTTTGGACATAGCACTCAAATCACGCAATTATGATTCACTGATTTTACAATTTGTGATCATACACAATTTTGTGTTCATTCCCAATTTTGCAACCATGATCCAAGAGGTCTAAAACTGATGTAATTAACATCTAATGACTTATGATCAAGTAATCAGTCCTAATGACTTATGGTCAAGTGATCAGTCCTATTCCCCTCATTGGTCAGAATTTGGTAAGCTGACGACACAAAGGCTTGTGATTGGCTGTGCTCTCCACCATCAGGTGTATCATGTGATCAGTCTGACTCCTATCATTGGTCAGGATTAGGCACAACAGAGGACACAGATGCTTCTGATTGGCTGTGCTCTTCATCATCAGAGGGTGTGTCAATATCAGTGGACTGTTCATAAGTCTGAGAGACAACGTCTGATTGGCCAGGAGCCTCCTCTACAGATCCCTGTTCTGATTCGTTATCTTGTGATTGGCTGGGAGGCTGTTCTACTGATGCAGATTCCTGTTCTGATTGGTTGTCTGGTGATTGCATCACTTCAGCCCTCAGTGTCCCAACTGCCTCCACCTCTGACTCCAGCCTGCGTTTCAGCTCCTCCAGTCTCATCTGCAGCTGCTCGTTCTTCATCCGGTGCTCCCGCAGTTCCGACAGGAATTTCTCGTACTCGCTCTGGTCTGCGCGGTTAAGTACAAGCAGCCCCCCTCCGATGACGGTGAGGCCACACAAGGCTGTGGCTCGCAGCCTGGTGAGGGCCTTGAAGGTGAAGAGAAGAGTGGTGGCAGCAGCAGCAGATAACACAGCAGCACTCCCAATTAGGGTCATACCTGCAGCAAAAGGTGTAAGGTTTGGTTATCAGAATGCAATTGTATACTGAGTTCAGGGGGACCTGTTCTACTACAGTTCTGTAAATGCATTTATTTTATTGTGGTTTTATTTTGCGGAATGAGGGAGGAGGTCTTTATAGTGTTCACAGTTGAAACAGAAATACAAAACATTTGCAGTGTTGTGATTTCTCATCAAGAGTATACCACAAAAACTAAAAAAAACAACAACAAAAAAACAGCTAACCATCTTTTCACCATTTACAGTACTACACTACCTCTGACTAAGCTAATTATTCAATGACTCACCTCTACCCTCATCCCTCTTCTTTGTCTTGACCTTCATCACAAGGTCATTCAACTTCTTCTCGGCCTGTTTCAGACGCTTCTCGCAGAGCGTCAGCTCCAGGTCTGCACGCCGCGTAACGTTGTCGAAGGCCAGCTGGAGGGAGCGATTGGGGCCTTTGCACTGCATGATCTGGGTGCACAGATCCGCAGCCTGTGGTGGGCACAAGACGAAGATACTTATTTAAATTATGATCTTTCTCAAAATGTTAATCACTCGTGTCTTTCTTAACCCACCGCAAAGAAGTCAAAAGACTTCATCAAGTAGTAACAAATCCTTCTAAAAGCAACAAGAAATCAGACATTTCAGAATTCCAGGAAGTTTGCAATCATTCACTTTCTGAATTGTACCAAGTTAGTTGACCTCTAATTCCTGGTCAGATTCTGAGACCTTTGACCTCCTGGCATTCTACCTGTCAATCTTCCCCCCCAATGTTCTGGTCTCGGACCGGAGTTTCCCTCCGTATTTCGAGCAATTTGACACCCTCAGCCCGACGGGCTGTCATTTCTGTACTAAACGCGGGTCGGAATTTTTCACTCTTTTGGTGGAAAGGGGTGCCGTGCCGCTTATCAATACACTTGATTGATATTTTCTGCGCCCAATTTATTTATGGGTAAATAAGGCACATCAAAGTACATTTTTAAAAAGGGGGTAATTTTTTTCGTCATTTTTAACCATGGCTGCATGGAAAAAACGAATTTTCCCAGAGTAACGGCTTAGTACTCGAAGAAGCTCAGAACCTAATGTCTCCAAAATTTGAATTTAATTAAAATCGATGCGATAAGTTTATCGCTATCTTCGATGGCCCGAACACACCCATAACGCATATAGAACGTACAATCCCGGCGGTCAGGCGAAAAGGCCACATAACCATCCGCGCGGACGAATACCAGGAAGTCTTCGCTGGACCACCAACATTACGCCACCTATAAAGGCTACAACTAACAGGCTTTTCAGAAAATACAAATATATGTACACAGATATTACGATTTCAGGGATATCGCGGCCAAAACATACCATACAAAGTCACGTTTCCGGCGATTTACTGCGCACTTACTTAGACTCTGGTCAGAATTAAACTCCGACCCGGAAGCTTCTATCAACTCACTCTGTCCAGACTAACGGATACACAAATGCACAGCTCAGCCACGCAGAACATCACTTCTGTGCCCCCGAAGTCAAAAGATGATAAAAACGCTTAAAGATCTGACCTGTCGGATGTAGTCCTCTATTTGGGGGACCATCTCCTGACAGTGATCCAGGTGATCCTTGACGACCTGGAACTCCGCGGCAAACTCGGCACTTTTGGGCTGGATGTTGGTGATGCCCCTCCAGAAGAAGCGCATGATCTGTAGCACGGCGTACCTCCCCGCCTCCTCCGCCAACCGCACGTCTGCTTTGATCACTTCTGTTGGAGACAGACAGAAAAGCTGTGGAGAAAAATTATGGAATTTTTTTCTACATGCAGGAAGGAGTGAGGGGTAGAAGCAGGAATTTAAATCGTGTTACTGTTAGTATGGTTATAACTGCATATAATGAAGAGGTGGTGGGAAAGTCTTGTATGTGAGAGGATGTAGCAACAGCATGGCAGAGGAACTGACTAGACAAAAATACAGATCCTTTTTTCTCGTTTTTTTTATGTAGATCAGTGAAAAAGGCATTGTTAATAAAAGAGTAGGTCCTTGACCGAGAGAAATCGGGGGGGGGGGGTGAAATTATCAAACTATGAGAAATTAATTTGCACTCACCTCCAAAGAAAGAAATAACCACAGCACCCCCCCCCCACACACACACATAAATAACATGTGTCAACTTGTCCGCTATGAGAGAAAACAGCATATAACATGTTGAACTTGAAGCAAACGTGCGATATTTCTCAACAGACCATATTGAACATTTAACCCTTATAACAACCTGATGTAACTCACCTTCCGGCACGGTGACGTTTTCCTGTACGAACTGTAAGGCCCTGTTCATGGCGGCGGCCAGCTGCTGACACACGCCGCTCGGCGGCAGTTCTCCGGACGGTGTGACGGCGTCCGTCTGGTCATACCCGCCCCCGCCAGCCGGAGACCCGTTCCTGTACGTGTCCGCGATCTCCAGCAACTGTCTCGCAAACTGGAGAGTTTCTACCAGGAGCTCCCGAGTCTCAGTGTCCCGGGGCAGAGGAGACGTCTGAGCAGACCTGCTGTCCGCCATCTTGGTTCTCTGTATGGCGGGGTACAAGAAAAACATAATTCCAAGTTTGGACAAGAAACTACACGTGACAAAGAAAACAGATCAAAAATATCAGACCAGGGGTTATGTATAAATATACTGGAGTCTACCTCATTCAACAACAAAGAAACGTTTTTTTCTGACAAGTAAAACAGCTTTAGTGTCTGTCGGAATGTCCCAACTGAAGTGACGTCAGGGGTTTTCCCGGTTGTACCACGTGATCATGACATCACGCTGCTAAATATAGAACTTGACGAACCCAAATTTCCGTAAAAATAAAATGACGTAAGATGTCATTGTTATGATATCATCCATAGGCACTAATCATACCATACAAACATTGGAATGTTTTTCTCCATACAAATACCTACCAAAACAGCACGAAGCTTCGAAGTCATCGTAGCTGATCATGAATCTTCAATGCAGGTGCCAAAAGGAAAACTGAAACTTGCCCTCGTAAAAAAAAAGAAGCTACTCGTACAAGTAACAGGTATAGTGTACATTATTCTCGAATTTTCCTTTCTTATGTGTCCATTTGGCTCGAACGAAATACTACAATATCACACAACTGAATATAATAAAATTTTATCATTGAAGAGCTCCCCGTACCCGTATAACCGTATAACAAATGTGCAAACGTTACTTACCGTCAATACACACAGTTGGGAAGTGAAAATTCCGTTATCTTGTTGAGATCGATCCGTCGTGAAGGGTCGACAGTTCTCAATGAAGTTGTAGTCAGTTATCTGTCCGGGTGACACAATTCACGCCTTTTATAGCGTGTTTGTTTACATTATGCAATCAGAAACACGAATTTGCGGTCAGGTCTGAACACGTATCCGGTGAACCCCTGTTGTCACCTGGAACCAGGAATTACCAAGGTGCAATTTGAAGCTCCTTGGAATAACGAATATTCGCAAACTACGGATTATGTGAATTAGGGGTGATCGTAGTGCGTCGTGTTTTCACTGTTTGTACTTTTCGTTGCCACTGCAGTTCATTTCTGTCATTTTAGATTAGCTGTCAGGTAGTGACAGGTGCACATTAGAAATCACTATCTTTGTTGCAGGGGAAAAAGTGGGGGAAAAAAGCAGAATGTTTATGTACGCCCCTCGTGCAATCATTGTTGGTCTGTCCTGATCGATGAAATCATCATGACATTGTGTAACTTGTCGCTGCCATAAAAGGTAACAAAATAACGGTCCCCGCAAATCACACATACAAAAACAGTCTTTACGTCATCAACTCGGTATACAAATACAGACCTCTCCAATCAAAGTTGAACTAATTCCACAGTCCGTACAGTCAAATTATGTCCGATGACTACTGGCGTTCCCCGCCGTATGAAACAAAAATAAACTGTCTCATCAACTGAAAATATAACGTTAACGTCATAAATATACCTGATCGTCACATTCTATAAGTGGAACACTCGACATTTCCATACTATCTAATATGATGTCAACAGGTTCCCACACAGTCCAGGTAAATTGTTTAGTCATGAAAAACATGGAGAAGACGTCATGTCTGCTAATTTTAAGCTCAGTGCAAGTGACAACAGCGTGTCCGAACACCTATGGAACATGTGGAAAAGAAAGTACAACTCTGAGTCTGAGCCAACCATACTAGGTTTAAAAGGTCATCCAGGCACCAGTGCACCAAACAAGAGAAGAAGACAATTTGAAGGAGATCGCGAACTGGAATATAAGTCGAATTCAACTACTAGTACCTAGTGTAGCCAGACCAGAACTTCTGGTGCAGTGAACTAGAAACAATGGTATCAACCACCTGACGCCTTGACTTCCAAGAAGTGCGTGAAGGGATTGACTGCATGTACAACCTGCAACCAGAGGCTATGATAGGGTTTGGTTTGGCCATAATATCTTTTGGCTGGATAGTATTTATAGCGTATTGGTTCACCAACCCTAGTAGGCTACACCACTCATTACAGAAAGGAGACAGACATGTTTCTTTGTCCACACAGCACACAACCATTGTGCTTTGATCGCCAACCTAAGAAAGTGAAACCCATATACTGTGCCTCGCCATTGTGAATACCGTGGCATTGTGTGTCCGACCCGCTCCAGTAGGCACCTGTTGCTGAGTCTGTCACGTCAGAGCGGTTTGTGCCAGCAGTCCTCGGTTCAACTTCAGGTACGTACAACTTCATCAACCTTTATACAATACGCTGCGATGTCACACGATAAATCCTACTTTAGTACTTTGGTCAAGAAATTACGTTATATGTGAAAATTCTATCAAGGTGTGCCACGGTTTGCCCCCCCCCTCCCCTTTCAGTTTCACCTTACACCCCCCCCCCCCATTAACCACAAACATATCAAAAACTTAGTCATTACCAGTGTATACCACATGAATATACGCAAGGGTACCGAAGTAACGGGTTCCTCACTGGCCGCCCAGTGCGGAACTCACGGGGAAAGTGGCGTCGACACTCGGGGCCCTGTGCGGAAGAAAGCTTCGCACTGGAGCAGAAACGGCTTTGTTCCAGTGCTGAAACACCGTCAGGCCTGGAATTCCAGAGCTGAATCTTGACTCGGCACTCGTTTTCCGGTGCTAACTTCCACTCAGCACTCGTTTGCCAGAGCTCGGAGGCCGTTCAAGCCAGTGCTGAATTCTACTCGGCACTCGCTACCAGTGCTCGGAGGACGTTCACCACTGGATAGCAAGTGCCGAAGTACCCAAGTAACGGGTTCCTCACTGGATCGTTCCAGTGCTCGATGACTCTTGGTGCTGGAAGCCGAGTTCTCAAATTATTTCGCCACTGGGCCTCTGGTGCTTACGTCGGCCGCGCGGCGTACAGTACAGTATCTTAGGCCAAGTCTATGTCCGTAAAATGTGAGGATCTGAGCCTTGCAGTATTGTCCTGCCGATCAACTTGTCGTCCCGATTATAATTTGCTTCCCGGGCGGTACGATCTCAAAAATATAAGTGTTAGAGTTCAAAGGCGGCATCTCGGTACCCTTTCTAAAGACAAGGTTAGATTTGCCGATTTACAGTTTCCAGTGCTGAAGCCGCCGACACTGGACACCAAGTGTTGACGTACCTTCGGCACTGGAGATCTAGGACAGAAGCCGCCTCACCTCTGTATACCGAGTGCTGAGACAGCGACCCGTAACTTCGGTACTTTTGCAGAACGCAAGTAGGCAAATCCGGTTTTCTTTTTCACAACAAGTAGTTTGAGGTTTCAGACTTGAACGGCATGCGATCCTCGGCTTCCTAGATCCCGAATCCCCCCCGTGTCGGCCTCTGCCCAGCCAGATTGGGAGACCTTTGACGTGACCTCCACATTTTGCTTGTCCACCCACCATAATGATATCAACCTGCTCTGTCCGGACAAACAGATACACAAACCCATACTCAGTCACCCCGAATAATACTTCCGGGTATTATTAATGTATCCATAGCACTTCTTTTGTTCACTTTCCAGAAACAGAAGTCAGAATGCCAGAGGTATCTACCCAGACCACGGTTTCCCTCGATGAAGGACGAAACAATGAAATCGGCCAACGTCTGATGGGAACGCTGAACGATTTCCAGCAGATGGTCGAAAGGTACAAAAAGATCGCTGACGACTTCTACTCAGAACAAGGCAGGGAAACTGGTAGAGCATGCGCAGATCATCTCCCACCGGGCAGCGTTTGGGACCAGATCGCTGCCGCCATTAGCAGAGCATGGGACTTCGTTCGGCAGCATCCTATCATCATGGACGGTGAGTAAGGGCCTGGTCACATTCCTCGCACGATCGTCGTATTGATAAGGGCATTCTTGGGATAGTCGTGCATGTGTCATATAATATAAATTCAGCTGGCTTACTGAAGCAACTGCTTTAGACCCTTGTCGGCGGCTGTTTCTGTCTCAGTCTGCTTGAACGTCGTACGACAGTAAACTTGTACCACGACGTACCACGAATATAGTCTCGGAAACGGGCGGGAAGGCAATGACGCAGCCATTTGGCCAAGTATCTTGCTTTGAAACAGAACCAGGCACTGGCGGCAAAAGTGCAAATGGGTTATTTACCAATGGCAATGCCCGACCAGTGTTTTTCTTCTTTTCAAAAAATATCACCCAGTGTTTGTTCTTCCTTTCAACATACCTGCGCAATATCTTGTTTTAAAGGGGCTATCAACGCTATTGTGAAGTTGCTGGAGGGGGCAGGGCGGTACATGGACGTCCAGATCGTCCGTCTCTTCATGGGAGAAATCGCGAAGATGATCCCGAACACTAAGGATTACAAAGAAGAGCTGACGTCCATCATCGACTGTCTGAATCTCTGTGAGCAGAAGATGACACAGATAGAGGACGATGTCTCTAAGGTGAGCTGCCGCCGTACTTAACATCAGACAGAAAAATAGTGCATGTCATAGGATACCCTTTAGTGTATAACCGTTTATCATGCTGCTCCCTCAGGTAACATCTCTGTGTGACCGCATCCTGGAGTGTAACGGCCAGAAAAAGTCTCTCCAGCGGGAGTTTGACACAGCCACGCGCCGTGCAGACGAGGAGATGACAAACTGCCATAAGCGTCTGAAGAAGGCAGAGAAAAAAATCAACAACCTGGTGGAGAAGGTCAAGGTCAGGAAGAGGGATGAAGGCGCAGGTGAATTTCTGTTTGTCTTTTGAATCTTGCGACTGTCTAATTTCAGCGTCGTGATACTGAGATGAAGAACAACTTGTTTTCATTTACCCTAGATTTTGAACTATCAAAAATGCAAGCAAGAAATGTCGAATTCTAGTTCCTGATGGCTCCGGGCCAAATTCTGAGAACTTTGACCTCCTGTCATTCTGCCTGTCAATCTTCACCCCGCACCCACGTGCTGTCAACCTACGCACATACGCTGTCAACAAATCTAAAGCTCAGTCGGAAGTAACAGAGGCGTGCTGTAGATTTATATAGCTTTTAGAAATAGCTATAGATTTTATAAGATGGTTCAAACTGTTTTACAGGAATGCCCCGAATGGCAAAGATTGGAGGAGGAGCGATGTTGTTGGCTGCAGGTGGCACGGGACTGCTCCACTGGTACAAGGCACTGACGCCTGGGCGGTCATCGGCACTAGTCAGTGTCGCCATTGTCGGTGCCCTCGTGGTGGTTCGGGCAAGTGCAGAACAAGTGGGCTACAAAAAGCTGCTGAAGGAGCTGCAGGGTCTCCAGAAGAAGAAGGAAGACTTGGAGAGCAGCCTGCAGGAGTTGAGTAGGAAGCTGGAGTCCGAGGCCAGCGCGGTGGAAAAGTTGAGGAGGGAGAGAGACGCCCTCATGTCACCGGATGAGCTGGACGATTGATCCCCGTGGTGTTGCTGAACAACAACCCATAGCTAACATTTACGTAACCTTCGAGAAAAGAAAACATATTATTTTTGCTCAGTTTCTTCCTCTTCGTCTTCTCCAAACAAATAATGTCAATGACCTGGACCAGACGTCTGTCACCATGGTAACTGGTACTCTAGCAGACACCCTGTGATGTCCGGTTACATTTTGTAGTAGGACAGAGTTTGAGGTGCTGGTCAACATATAAATGCACATGGATGCGTTTGAGTAAGAATAAACATAGCAGTGGTGTGTGGAGCTAGACCGTGTGAAGGTAAACATTATGCATTTGCTTTGCAAATGTTACCTTTCTAGTTATATATTGATTTCCAACTGAATTATGGTAGAGGATGAAGTCCAATCTATTGTAGAATGCAGTAGCAGTGATAGAAATATTCTTTAATGAATCATTGAAACGATTTTAATGACAATGTCTCGAGCTGACGAAACAGGCAATGCAGCCTAAAACCCATAACCTGCTTCAATCCTATGTTGGATTATGATTATTCAGAAGAGTATGTCAATGAATAAATATTTACCCCCCGGGTTTTGCGGAGATATTGTTTTGGGTGGGATTATCTGTGTGTTTGTGTGTCTGCTTGTCCGAACAGAGTAGGTTGACAGCACGTGGGTGGGGGAAGATTGACATGCAGGTTGAAGGGCGATAAAAAGGTCAGACAGTGGAAATGGGGTGAACGTGAGGGTCTCATAGCCGGCAGGAATATGTTAATCCGAACTTAATCGGCATGGGGGAATTCAGGAAGCCAACGACTGCATACTTCTCGAATGCCTGAAATCTCCGATTTCTTGTAAAAGCAGGAACTCATTAACATTTTAGCCTTTTGCCGCCAACAACGCGTACAGCTGTTTCCTTATCCCTAGGCCATGCCCAACTTCTATAATGACGCGCACCATGTCGTAATGGAATAATATCATTGCCAGAACTTTTATTTCAAAATATATCTCTCAAGTTACATACTGTACAGACATATACAATATTTCTAAACAAGCTGCACACCTCAAAGTCAATACACTGTAATAGTTCACTGATGGTGATATCCTTCGTCAGATCACCATTTCATGGTGATGTTGGTCATAGTCAGCGCGTTTGTACACATGCATTCTGGATCCCAGTTGGTTCTAGCCCGATTCATCGAACATTCAAGACTTGACATGTATGTGTACATCTGTGACTATACTTTTAGAAACTGCTCAATGCTCTGTGCTATAATCAAGATAGAAACATATCAACATATGTTGAACATTCTGCTGCATTGCTTCTTTTCGCATGGACGGTTTTAATTACATAGTTATGAAAATGATCACACTTATCAGTAGGTTAGAACAAATTGTCAATGTAGCTGTCAGAATTCGTGTACAACATATATAGCGCAACATGTTACAGTATTCAAAGGCGGAATCATACAAAGACATTCAATATACAGTGAAAATAGAAAATATATGGCACTTTGGAAAGATTTGACTTATAACGTTACATATTCTATCTTTGTAACATCTTGTGTTATTCTTAGCTGGACAAATACAACCAGTTACGATATGGTTGCTATATATAGTTTGATATTTCTTCTGGGCTGCAGCTGACGTTTGGCACTGGCTGAAACCGCTTTACATCGCTCTTCTTCATACCCGGGTAACTCGTAATTCTAACCAATGAGTGGTCGGGATTTATGATCTAATTACACTGTGGTAGTTGCGATGGCCAATGAAAGCGCGCCTCGGTGTTTTGCATTATTTCTTGAAATTTGACCGCGAAGAGTCATTTCGGGAGTGTCGAAGTGTGTGTTTAGCACGGCAGTATTACTAGTACAGTGAACCACGGCTTGTATTTGGCACGAGGGCGGTTCTCATACAGTCATGGTCTACACATGATTGCCGAAAAGTCATGGTCTACAAAAGATTGGCACAGAAATGTCTTCTTGTTGCATGTCGTCATTCCTCCCTGTCAGTGTCCTCAGAAGAGTACAGTTTGGGCACGGGGTCGTCACTGTTCATGGACTGCCACGAGTCGCTGTCACTGCCGTCATCCTCGTCATCAGAACCCGCTCTGGACGACACGGGGGTGGACACCTCGCTGAACGTGTCGATGTTCGTGTCATCTAAGAGAGGAAGGAAATGTAGATGTTGAATAACTTGATTATACATTTTTTTTCACTTAGTGGCATCGGGTGGCTTAATGGTCAGAGCGTTCAGTTCGTAACTTAGAGGTCCCGGGTTCAATCCCCTGACAGGCTGATGTTGTGCCCTTGGGAAAGGCACTTTACACGACTTCCTTTCCTGTATGGTGGAGTGACGTCCACCGGCGTTTCGGCTAATCGTTGATACTTGTGTCCAAACACTGACGGACACAGTCGGCCTTTGGTGTCACCAATCTGCATATTTGCCACTATTAAAGAACCGCACAATTATTTTCACACTTTACAGAAAACATTTCTGGACAACACACTAATTCACAATAGATTTTGCCACGCTCTGATACGTTTTTCATTTTCGAAAAGAATTTACGTGGTAGTACTGTAAAGAAAACTAAGTGACGAAGTACTTCCCAAAAGTGGGTACTAAACTTACCTGCTTCGTGTATGATATTCTTTGCCTCTTGAAGAACCGACTTCACCATTTTCTTCTTTGGCTTGGCTAAGAAAGAAAAAAATCAGACAAGTTGGAACTTGGATGACAATTGTTAGTATGCATACTCACGATGATAGTAATGCATTTTTCCATGTTTTACTCACTATCAAAACAGCTAGACAGCGTTTGAATGTTTTCATATCTTACGATATACAGTACCCACCTGATGACAAGTCGGTGTCCAGCAGTACTGTATCTATCCCATCCATGAGCGGATCCTTCAGTTCCACCGGCCGTGTTCCTGTCGGTTTCAGGATACTAGCAAACTTCTTCACGTTTACGGCTCTCTGCGCCGCTCGTCTCCACCGTTTCTTGGGCGGTTTTGACTTTCTTTTCAGGTTCGTTTTCGGGACCATGTCTTTGTTCAAGTCTTCGGGAAGTCCATAAATATGACGCGTCAACTTTTCCGTTTCCACGCTCTTCCACGTGACGTACTGAGACCTGAATCTCTGGAGCTGTTCATTCTCGTACTTCTGTCTCACGTCCGCCAACTGTTTCTTCTGCGTTTCGATTGTTTCTAAAAGCCTTTTCTTTCTCTGATGCACGTCCCTGGCGTACCGCTTGACTTCTTCCAGCTGGATGTCCTCCAGTTTTTGGAGGATGAAGTTCCTGCGCTGTTTCTGCCACGTGTCGTTCAGGTAGACGGACTTGAGTTTGGTGTAGGTCTGAACTTCGCGGGGGGTCAAGACGTGCTCCGACTTCCAGTGAGGTAGACCACCCTGAGACCTGGGAGGTTGCAGAAGATGCATTTACAAGACTAGAATGGCCGACATTTGCTTTGAAGCAAATACAGCATGGCTTCACCACATTTTACGACATGTTTCCACCGATTTACAACCCAAGAGCCCCCTTTTCCTGGCCAATACTTGTAAAAAGGCAAAGTAATAATTCCTATTATTGTCAAGTCAAGTCAAGTCAATCTTTATTGCACAACAATTGTAACGGGTACAATGCTATTATAAGTATGTGGAACCATACGCAGGTGTTCATTTAGCAGTAAAGTAATAAAGGGAACAACCAACCATCAGCAAACACATCTGCAAACGGGCACGCACCTGCTGCCCATATTTGGGCATTGAGCTCCTGGCCCAAATGAGTTTTAATCCAATTAAAACCAGCACCCAATCAGCAAGAAGATTACAACTGCCCTACGATCTCAAAAGCTGCATGCCCATTGGCGGTTGCGCTATGCATTTCTTACTGATGATGTCATGCTATATTGAGAATGTTAGGATCGTGATCCCCATACCTGAGCGCCGCTGTTTGCGGACAGGAGCTGTTCTTCTTGTTGTTCTTCCCGTCTGTGGTGGTCTGGGCCCGCTGGGGTAACGTCACGGCCTTGTTACGACTCAGGTCCGGGCAGCTCCGAGCGCTGTTCTTCACCTGAGTGCGCCCGCTGAGGAACAGAGTATAGTCAGTGTTTGCCTTTCAGTCAGTTAGTCCAACAGGGTAAAGACATGAGGATGGGAAAAAAGGAACAAGAAATCGGAGAAGTTTATGAACTCCGGGGAGAATTTTCGAAAATGTATTAGAACTGTGGATGGGTTGTATTATGTGATTCAATCAGGTATTACACCTCTTCCTGGATTTCTCAACATAAAGCCCACATAAACCCACCTTGCGTGTGCGGGTTACTTCCAGGCCTGACCTCCCTGATCTCCCTATCTATCAACTGCCCTAATCACTCATGGCCCTATTGGTGAATTGTAATTGGTGAATTGTAGAGAAAAGAAGCGGACTTACTTGATGGTTGCTGGAAGCTTGTCCCTCCCGACTGTTTCTGCTCTTGCCTCGGCCCAACCCTTGGCGAAGGTCTTAGACTTGTTGGAGTTAGACGCACATGTAGAAATACCTGCCGTACTACCTGTACAAAAGGACATAATCACAAGAAATGTCAACTTGTAGAAACATTTATATTGCATCATTGAACTTCTGGTGGTATGAAAAAATTATGTTTTCAGATTAATCCGAAATCAACTACAGAACAAGAGTCGACCCAGCTAACTTTTATGTAAGGAATGTTTTCAAATAAACAAATGCCCGAGAACATGTAATGTCTGTATAACAAGAGCCAACAATCGCTTGACATGACTTCAGTAGATCAGCCCGGTGCTTTGTTTGTCTCACGTACCTGTTTGCACGAAGAGGTTGTTTATTTTAGGAAGTGTGGGCGCTGCAGGGCGGGAGGGCGGCTGTCTCACCGGCTTCACGCCGTTATCTGGCGCAGTCGCCACCTCCCGGGATATTCTGTCTCCTGTGATATTTAAAAAAATCACATGAGAAAAACTTCCACTGCATGAACAACGCGTAAAGCTTCCGTTTAGTCTTCTTTACATACTATTTACAGGTGCTTAGCCTAAGTATTACATTTACACTATGACTATCGTTACGTCTGTCCGTAAAGCGTACGTAGTGGCACTCATTTGAGGAACATTTGCTGGCATCGTAAAGTAGACAGAACAGCATATTAACATTCGCCGAAGTCTTCGAGTCTTCCCGGTCAAGCGGAAGTCTCCAAACAAGTCATCCCTGCCAAACGTCCCAGAACATGCCTGGTCTCTAACCATGTTGGCTCGCATTTTCTTCTTCATAATGTTGTATCATTGCCCCTTTTTGGACAAAGGAAAAAGGCTCCTCCTAAGATACAGAACCTAATACGAGGTTCGTTGGCGTGGTCATAGCAACGCTATGCTTACCTGTGTAAATATTACAGATAAACAAACTCTGATTCTGTCATTTCAAGCACGACTAACTCCCTTCCGACGCTAGAGAACAAATAAGCCCTGGCAAGTTTTTATCAATCAACCAACACACGAATCAGCAAGCAAGCAAAACTACGATGTATAAACAAGATGTACGTATAGCCCACCCTGCCGTTTCTTCTCGTTCTCTCTCCTGTTGGGACTGGTGTGCGTCTGTCGCCTGGTCCCGCGGTCTCTGTCGCCGGGTCGCCATCTGACGTGCTGCGGCTTGTCCCGCTGTGGTCTGGACGGCCTGGGCGGCGCTGCTCCGGTCAAACTGAAGGGCAAAATGCAAGAAAACGTCAGAACATCTATGATCACTAGAACCTGGCCACATTCGTCGTAGTCCGTCGTAACATTTTGATGTCATTAGTCAACCAGGCTGTGACAGAATCAACCGCTGACAATGACTCGTGACAGCCCGAGTGTTCTGTAACAAGACATCTTAATTTTGTACGACACATGCACGGCTATCACAAGAATGCCCAGGTTTTGCGATCGTACGGCGATCGTACGATGGACGTGACCAGGTCCTAACATCTGCGAGCACTCCGACACATGGACGTACACGAAGAACATTCTGAACAGACAGTCGACGTTATCAAAACACACACGACTAGCGCCACAGAACATCGGTATTCGCCACGTAAGTCTGGCTCACACGCCTTTTAGAAACAACCGAGGACGCCAAGTATCGGATTTTGGGTCGATAGGGGTAGAATAAGGACCGCTAGTAAAGTAAGAAGACAATAAACTCGACAAAGGCACGTTGGAAAACAACACTTGCCACTTCTCCACTATGGGCGGCAGGAATCCAAAGTAAGGCTCGCGTTTATCGTCCGATGAAGTCGGTGCGAAACTCATGGGTTCGAATCCCATTCCCGCTCCCAGGTTCGAATCCGGTAACTATAGGAACATAGCATAACCCAGGTGCATAACTACTGTTGGGATGTCGGAAGAGAGCAGTTCGCTCTGAGTGTGGTATTTTAGCTAAACTATGTCCCGTTGTCAACGAAAAGAGTTGCACTGTTCAAGAATAAACAGAGGTTGAACTTTGGTCGTCCCAGTGATACGCCAAGTAAATGGATCGTGAAGAACAGGTAAGAATTTCTGCTTGAGTCAGTGCAGGTGACATGTGTTACCCTGATAGGTGGCACAAACACCCTGACTAAACAATGGCGAAGGGCTTTGAATGCACACGCATTGGAATGGGAAACGGAGGTAGTCTCAAACTGTAGACTTGGGCATGGAGTGTTTGAGGAATGATTCCGAAAATTTCAAATCTTCGTCCAATGCCAAGATTGCTATCAAACTTCCCTACCCCTCTCTATTGTAGCTGTATATATTTCCCCTGCGATTCGAGTCTAATTCGTGGGTTGCACCTGTCGAAGCTTAAGATTTAATATCCGGCCACGAGCCCGGATTTCCAGGCTACTAAGAGGCAATGCACGGAACAATTGGCCCTGAGAAAATGCGCAAACATGACGGGTAGCATCGTATGGATCATTGGGAAGTCTGCATAACAGACGGGCGTCAAGACAGGCTCTATTAGTCACCTGCAGCTATTGGCGGAACTCCGGTGAGTGTGAGGGGGGGTGGTGGTGCTAGGAGCCAAAACAACAAGAATCCAAGAACAAATAGAAGTGATATGCCACAACATAGTATTGTATTATTAAAGTCCCGCCCCAAGAAAACTCCCCAGTCATACAAGCTATAGAACAACGCCGATATAACACTTTAGGCAGCTATGATTCAGATATACAACACCTGTTGACGAGTAATAAATAAATATGAAGCACATCTCCCTACAAGCCTACCTCCCATGCGTCCGCAACTACACACGCATTCAGTCGTAACTACTACATGTATTAATCTCCGCCACGTCTCAGGCAGTTGTATACGTCACACATGATATCAGACCTCATTAATTCATAACTTGTGTCAAACGAACAAACACACCATGACGGAGAAAACGATAAAACGGTGAAATGAATTCTTTTCCTCCTATGGAGATATTACAACGGCAGATAAGTCAAGGTCGACTTCTAGCTTGAAATTGACGTTTTTCTTTCACATTTTAAGTAGGATTAGGTAAAGGACCTCTGTAAAATTTGTTTTCGCAGCGTCTGATGGTTAAACCGTTCTGCCTACTGTTATATTAAGGACAGACCCGGAGATACATAGTGTACCATAGGGATTATATGCACCTTCTATCGTTCCCTAGTCTACGCAAGAGACCAAACGGTTAGAACACAACCAACTAGCCTCTAACTCTTGACACAGACCACCAAGGGTCGGAAATTTGAGCGGTTTTGTAAAATAACCACAGTTGCTTTCGGGTTGACACATTGATGTACGACAACAAAGTGGTTTGACATCTAAACCCACGGCCCATGTCCATCCACTCCACAACATGAATAGTAACCAAGAAACATCACAGATAAAAGCAAGCCAAACAAACAACGCCTCGAGATCTACCTGACCGAATAAGGTGAACAAATATGAGTAATGTTCTTGCCATCCAGTTGTTTGCACTACAACATTTTGTGCGTACTTTTTTTACGCTCAACCGATTTTGCACAACTAATTTTTCATCTACGAAGTTTTGGGTCTGTCACTAACGACAAACAGTCGCTATGTAGTGAACCATGTAGTACAGCAAACGACAACAAAGGTAACGGCAGAACTTAGGTCGGATTTGACATGAAAAAGCAACAACGCGCCACAGAACAACACGGTGTCTAAATTTCATTTTCTGGGCGGAAAACTGGGTCAGGCTTTTACAACCGGAGGATGGGTTTTACTGCGAGTAGATGCGTTATTTTGATATGGTCCACATGAAAAGAATGAACTGGAAAGAAACAAAACGGGTTGTGATCCTAGCTAGTAAACAGTACTAGTCGGTATATAATGGATGGAACACACCAAACTATTGGGTATTTTCTGTGGGACTGTTTAGATCGTAAATGGCCTTTCTGAAGTTATAGCAGTGTTGATAAAAAAAAGAGTAACACGAGCACTTTAGAATGAAATCAAATCAGTGCAACAGGACCGAATTAGAGAAATGCGTGAGCATCTTTATAAGCAAAACCCCAAATTCTATCTCCAATGGCATGATGATCGGCAGATGTGCCATAACCAGGCATCGATAGATACTCAAACACAAACAAGAATTCTGTAAGACTAATAAAGGATCTGACACAAACTCACGTCAAAAATGGAACACAATCACTGTTAAAAAGGCTTTGTTACAGGAGGTCATGGGAACACAATGTCGAACATGACCCCCGAGAAAAGCCAAAAGACTGTCATGAGTAATTTAGAGAAACAAATTGCCCTTATTTATCGACACTATTGTTAAACATGTCAGAGAGAAACTATGGGAGTAGTCACGTTAAAACTCACATCACACGCAAGACGGGTGAAGACTTCACGTCACACAGAAGGAAACTAAACTAAAGTCTCGAAGCTTAATTGTACCTGCTCGAATTAGTGCTTCTTGACGCCCTGGTAAACTGTGCGGGTCTTGATACCGCAGTAATCGTGGATACGCTATCGGGGAGACTTCGTCGGGCAGGAGCCCCTAACCTGAGCGGGGGCAGCCGGGTCTGTCCCATGCGTCCTCCCGGTGGCGTCGGACGACGCCTGCGCCGACGTGACCGACTCTTGAAAGGTAAAGAGGGGAAGTAAGGCAACTTATCATCACACGGTCCGTGCGTCTGTATGGGATGCCTCTCTGTTTGGCTGCGGTGCGCTGTTACCATGGTGACAAACGACTTTTAGATCACACGCGTGTGTGTGTTATCATTCGCCACATGTATGCCGTAACCACACAGGTGCTCGCAATGCACCACGGGAAGAGGCATTAAATGGCCATCCATTATATACAGTTGATGGCACTGCCTGTACTAAACGTCAAAAGTCAATATAACCTTGGACCGCTAATAATCGGGTAACCAGACCTACAGGAGTATCCAACCGTAGCAACCATGGCTAAGCAAATGTGATTAGTCGTGTAGCATTTACTCAATATTTACATTTACTCTGCAGCAGATTTTTTCCATAACATTTGATCACTCACTTATCTGTTGGTATATACATGTTCACCTATAGGAATAGGATGGAAGAAGCCTAGCATGTCATGCGTCGTACGAATGTCGTACGATCGAAAACCGAATGCATCTTTAATTTCTTTGGATATCCATGCCTATTCCCTGCGAAAAAATAAGCTACCTTGAGAGTCCGTAAATCTAATGTTGAAGTTGAATCATTGTCACCGGTTAGTTCTGTCACAGCCTGCTTGAGCTAGGGCATCAAAATCTTATGACGACCTACGTATATTCGGCAAACGTAACATAGCATGGTGTAGTCGTATTCATTCTTAATCTTCATGTATGTTTGCACTTCTAGATCTGAGAGGAAGTGCAATAAAGCCTTTATCTCATTATCACATGGCGTGTTTACTGACTCTGGTGACTATCAGATTGAGACGTGATGTTTGTATACTAGTACTCTCCAAGCAGAGGTTAGCCTTGTTTTGGACGTATGTTAGGCGTTTTAGGCAATATTTCGGGCTTTCTATTTTGTCCCGGAATGCTTTCTTTGGGTGTAGCCTGGGTGTAGGGTAGCTTATCCGAAGAATGCTAGAAAAGCTGGCCGAACAGAAAGCCCGAGAACACGCATAAAACATCTCAAACAGGCGTAACCTCTGCTTGGAGAGTAATGTTTGAACACGCCGGAGTGCCGAGTGGGTACAGTTAGTCCGCGCACCGCTGACTCTCAGCCGTAAAGACCTCAGTCAACCATGGGCATTGTCTGACCAGGTGAGCGGACAGGTAATTTTCCCAGACAAACACAGCTCACCGCCTCTGTTGCTGGGGTAGTAAGGGGGG